CAGGGTGCTGTTGGATTACAATAATCCAAGACCTGTGCTATTTGTGGATTGTCTGGTTGTTTAGTGTCACTAATTGGCTTCTTACCCCTACCCCTTTTTTCTCATTTTGTGGATTTTTTTTTTAAAGGTGATAGAAGGACTATGTGGCAATCTGTTATATGTTTGAATTAAAATTTTATTACTAGTTTGGGAACAGTTGATGCTCCATTTTCTGAGTTAATTTTTTTAACTTGCTAATTTATTACTTTAGGACTTTTTTCTTTCATGTTTGAGATAGAACAGGGTCTAAAGTCACAGTTGGACAGATTCTTGTATCTTTGCAATTTTCTCAATTGTTTCATGACTTATTGAGAAACATCTTGAGGTGTGGAGAACTTTGGTACATGCCTGGAGTTTATAAATAATGGGGCCTTTGACTGTTAGTCTCCTTGACACTTACTTTCCACATCTATAAAGTGGAAGTGAGGCTGCTTCCTTGTTGGGTATGTTAGCATGCAGTAACGTGTGAGCTGGGTGGTGGGTGTGTGTTGTGTGTCAGCATGCACTAATGTGTGAGCTGGGTGGTGGGTGTGTGCTGTGTGTCGGCAGACATGCTTTTCCTCGTAGTTTCATTAATAATGTTGTCATGGTAGTGCCTACTACAGTCTTTTGGGTTTTCCTTTAAAAAAAGGAGCTGTGATTGTTTTCTGGAGTTTTTGATAAATGTTCTTATTTTTCTGGATTTCACTTGCAGTCCCCTGCTAGTGTAATTGCTTTTTCTGTAACACCACTTGATCATCTTATTGGGAATTAGAGATGTGGATTGTTTCCTCTTCTGAGCTAAGTATCAAGACAATGGCATTTCTTTGTTTTCTTTCTAATCATTTACCCAGTGTAAGTCTGGAAAATGTACTTCTAAAACTACATAGCAAAGATTTTATTTTCTTCTGCCACTTTAACCCGTCATATAAGTGAGCACAGAGGTGTGGAGATGTCTATCAGTCACAGTGTGTAATTTTTAGAGAATCATAGCTTTAATTGGTGGGATAAAATTGTAGATCTTTTCCTTTTTATATCTCTTTGTTTTCCATGTTTGAGTATTTTATCTGCATGTATATATGTGCACCATATGCTGCTTGGAGTCTTTCAAAGTTAGCAGAGGTTGTCAGAGCCCCTGTAGCTGTCTATGAGCCTACACTCGAGCGGTGGGGACTGAACCCAGATCCTCTGCAAGAACAAGTGTACTTAATTGCTGAGCCATCTCTCACCCCAAATTTAAGATGCTTTATACTTAATGGGCTTTGCTTATTTTCAGGTGGTACCTCTGAAACCACCTAAATTGTCCTTTTAAATTCCATGATACATCATATTTTTTTGTATAGATGAATTTTTTTGTGAATCATTTGCAAAGATAGATTGCATAGGCGCAGTTAGAGAGCAGCAGAGAACTGCGTTTGCACTGCGTTTAATAACAATGGCACCTAGTTAGGTTTTGAAGTTCCTTATATGATGATGTTTTAAGAATCTGCTCGCTCTGTCTCTGTCTCTGTCTCTGTCTCTCTCTCTCTCTCTTTGGTGACCAGGAGGTTCCAGCTGGTCTGGAACTTACAGAGATCCACTTGCCTGTACCTTCTGAGTGCTAGGCTTAGGGTGTGTGCACTATGGTGGCGCTTCTGTCTTTTGTAGCAGCTTCCCACTGCTAGTGATTTGGAGTTAGAGACACTTGTGAGGTTGGTGTCATTACAAACCCTTGTGGTGTTAAGGAAGGTTATGCCTGAAGTTGGGTTTCCTGGGCTCTGTTTTGATCTGTCCTCACCAGAGCCTGACTGCTGTGCCCCATGTTGCCTTTGTAAACACCAGCAGATGGGCTGTGACTATGGACACTCAGGCACTAAGCTCAGCCACCCGACACACCATGTGCTCTGTGGCCTGTGGCTTTCTGAAGACAAGCTGTAGGTTCGGTTTATTCAGAGAGTTCTCAGACAAATAAAGAGTTCTCAGAACCACTTACGCTGAGTTCTTGAATTGTTCATAGCTGTTGGCAGAATGTGAGCTGAAATACACTAAAAGATTTTGAGAACTAGCACAATTTCCTTCTATACGGGTCGTGCATGGTTTTTCTCATTGTCCACTGTTGTTCTCCACAGTTCTGAGAACACTTTCATTCATGAGGGAAACTGGACACATTGACTATATATATATATATATATATATATATATATATATATATATATATATATTTTAGAAATAAAAAAAATGACTATTTGAAGGCTCTTTAGAAAGAAAATCATATCTGAAGTGAGACTACAAAAAAGCCGACTGGTGTTGGGATTATCTGCAGTGGATGTCTTAGGGTGCAGATTCTGTTCCTCAGTTTCCAGTAGATAGATAGGTGATAAAAAAAAATAAAAAAACCAAGAGCAAGTTTTGTGACTTCTAGATAAATGTCAGCTCTTGCTAAAGGCTGCTTTTCAAATGAGTGGTGGCTAATGCACGGTGTTTCTAAAAGATGTCAAAATTTGTTTTTATCTTTAGATACTGAAATCAGTAGTGAATAAATATTACTTTAGTTTTTATCAGCTTTTTATAAAAAGAGCACGAGAGGCTGGAGATGACTCAGCAGCAGGAAAGAGCACTAGCTGTTCTTACAGAGTACCTAGTTTCAGTCTCAGCACCCATACAGTAACTCACAACTTGTGTAAGGCACCAGGCATGTGCCAGATGGACAGGTATATATGCAGGTAAAGCACTCAGATAACCATTAATAAAATGAAGAGACCAAAGGAATGCTGAGACCTTGTTTGATCTGGTCTTATAAGGATCAAACAAATCATGTCATCTGTTCATGCTGAAGCTATTCAGTTTGTGAGGAAGACTGTAATTGTTACAGGTGAACATTGTAAAGAGCTAACATACAGCTATAAACACAATTCAGAGCTAGAGACAGAATTGGTACTTTCTCTGTTGTTCTTGTAGTCCATGCCACAGAAGTTTAAAGACCTACCAAATTGAGGGGAGAGAATTTGACAGCTACAACTGTGAAGTAAAAGTCTTTAATTCTACTGATTGAGTTATTTTTAGAAGCAAATATATTGTGATGGTTACTTTTATTGTTCATTTACTCACCTAACCATTCACCTAGCCACATACCTAGGCATACACCTAGCCATGCACCTAACCATTCAACAAGCTAGCCATGCACCTAACATTACACCTATCCATGCACCTAACCATACACCTCGCTGTGAATTTAACATTGTCTGGAGAATTGGTGCCCCTTGGCTTGGGTGTATCTTGGTAGCAGCAGTGTCTCACCTAGAAAGGCTGTCCTTTATCAGGAGGTCAGGAATATATAGGCAGTGATTTCAGAACAGGCAGTTTCCATTTTAAAACTAATTCAAAAATTCAGCTCCTGTTCTGAATAGATCACTCACCAGTGGAGTGTTTCCTTTTGCTGCTGTTTGGATGACAGAGTTGGACTTTCAACCTAAGAGTTCAAAAGTAGGATAAATAAGTGAAAAACAAAATATTTATCAGCAATAAATGGAGATTTTAAGTAGGATATATATATATATATATCCTACTAGCCTAAAAATATCCTTCTTCAGACTTAGTTTTCTTATTACTCTATGACATTATTTGGATTTCTATTAATAAATTCATTTGGGCTAGTTAGCTTTACTTGTTGGGAATTGCAGTTATTGATGTAAGTTGTTTCAGTCTAGATTTTTTTTTCTTTTAGCTTACCTTACATAATGAGCTACACTCAGACAGCAAAACCTTTGGATGGTGATTTCAGAACATAGAGTAAGTTGGAGAAAGGGCTTGACTTGGGGACATCACTGTGTCAAGTATATAGGGAATTACAGATGTCGGGAATCAAAGGACAGCTTACTTAGATGATTTAGATTAGATAGAGTTTATCTTTTCTTTCTCACAATCTGTAGTGCCGATGACTAATAGCATCTTTGTGTTTGTTGGATTGTTTCTTTGCATTTACTTTCTTTAAAAAACTTTGTGGTTAAGAGGACTGGCTGTTGTTTTTCTAGAGGGCCTGAGTTCAATTCCTAGCACCCATATGATAGATAGCTCACAGCTGTCAGTAACTTAAGTTCCAAGGAATCCAACACCCTCTCAGACATGCAAGCAGACAAAATACCAATGCAATAAAATAATAAATAAATCATTTTTAAAATTTTACATTAAAAAGCTTTTTAAAAAAAGGTTAGCACACAAGCCTGACTTAGGAATCAATAGGCTTTGCTTATTAATTAGTTCAGCTACCTTGAGAGCTAGGCCAGCATGAGCAGCTCCGCTTCCTTTGGAGTTACTGGGTCTCACAGTGTCACTTGTGAGCTATTCTTCAGCCTGGTGGTCTTTGCTTCTCTCCTGGTCCTGTGTGGTCCCCTTCGATAGTCATGAGGATTGCACTCACTTTCCCACCGGTCGTCAGGAATTAAGAAAGCCATAAATAGGAGGGAGGGGCCCTTAGAAAATAAAAAGTGGACCTCTCGGAGAGCAGGGGAGTGTTGATGAGCAGGATAACTGCATTTGAAAAATGTCTCTGAATTTAATCTACAAATAATATTGGTAGGTTGACATGTTGACATTTGTAGCTTTTATTACCTCTGCCTTGATAGTAAGTCACTGTGGAAAGGAAATTAAATTTGTATTGGTGTGTGTATACTGTACAAGATCATAAATGGTTTATTTCCTTTAGATACATTATATAAAAGTACATATTATTCATGCTTACTTGATGCTTAGAAATGCCTGGAATGGTTATTGGTCATAGGCATATTTTAAAACTTTTTTTCATGATAATTGATTGATATATTTTCTATATGCTTGATTTTGATAAATGAATAGAAATTATTCAAATAAGTGTAAATGTTAGTAAATTGACAAATTTGGAATAATTTTATCTATGTTTTGGAGATGGTAGTTATTAGATACTCTTCAATTAGGGGTAATTGTCTTACATCATCATTTCTTATCGTAATCTGTTTTTCTTCACACAGTGTTATAGTTTTGCCGCTGGACTCTTCCCTCCCTTCCCCCACCCCATCAGGATGCTATGAGACTTGAAGAAGACGATGCATACAGGTGACTCACATTTCGCAGTAAAGTAGCGCTATGGCTGTGAGACAGTGGGGGCTGTTAGTGTGCTTTCTGGGTGGGCCTCTGGCAATGCTAAGGTTCGTGACTCTGGGACTTGATGTCGCAGCTTTAATAGTGATGCTAACAAAAGAGTAATTCTTGGCACTTGAACTTTTAAAAGCTGGTTTGCTTTTAAAAACTAATAGCATTTAGTTTTAAATGTTTTAAAAACTAAGAACATTTACTTTTATGGTTAAATATATGTCTCCCTGTATTCCTATGGGAGAATAGTAAATCTTTCCTGAGAATGGATGTTAAGATGATTTCAGTAAGGCTGACAGGTAAAGTTGAGAGCTGTTAGCGGAACACTTGCATGTGTGGTCCTTAAGCAGACATGGTCTGGGAGTTAGTGCTTCTTATTCCTTCTCCTGTATTGTTTTTGTAGTTCCCTTCTCTTTCATCCTTATGTCATTTGAATGTGTAGATGAAAACCTGAGAAGTTGTTTGGAAGTGTGTTTACTTCCTTCATAGATAATTGAAGGATCTTACTGGTATTGTAAAACAGAGACTCTTCCTTCCGAGTGACTGTGTTCAGACTAAAAAGACAGTGTAGCCAGTGGGTCAGATGTGTTGCAAGCACTCACCTATGTGCTTGTAGATTAGCTAGATGGGACACATTTTGTTAAACAAAGTTACCTTTATTGGTAGATTTGAGTTTTATTTGATTGTATTGTAAGCTTATGTTTGAAAATGATTTCAGCTGGGAAAAAGATAAATCTTGAGTGGTATCTGATGATGATAATTGGTATAGCTGTTGGTGATTTTCATTTTTTTGTGACCCTAATTTCCTAAAGTAATTTTTCTTTTGCTTTAGAATGAGATTTTAGATGTGTCATTTTCTATGACAAAATGTGTTTGACTATAACATTTGTAAATTAAATGGTATGGATAAGTAAGTTACCATGTATGCTACACGAGGAACCCACCATTTCCGGAATTATGATGGTAGCTGCTTAAGTCAATGACTGGTCATCCCTCTGTGGTACTTCTCACACAAGCATGCATACAGATTTCCTATGTGTGTTTGCCAGTGTTGTAGGGATGCATTCTGCTTCAGTGGCTGGTTGTTAAAATCACCATGGTGCTGATGCAGAACATCATCATAGAAGAACCATCAGGAATGTTTACAGAAATGCTTCCTTTAGAGTTTCTGTACTTGGCCTTTAATGCTCGAACAGTTCAGCAGCACTGTCTCTTCCTAGGTTGCTCTTGGCTGCAGGGTGTTCAGGCAGCATCTGGACTATGCCAAGCAGATGCTGTCTGCATTGTTGTAGAGGTCAGTAGGAGAACAAAGCAGCTTTAGTTGTTGCGTAGTAGTGACTTACTGATGGGAGGTTTCTTCATGAGGTTTTCAGTGTGCAGTGTTGTTCGTAGTCAGAGGTGTACGACGTGCTCCCAAGTAGCTGTTTCTCTTAAAGCTTTTTGGTCTCGGTAGTATTAATAGCTAGAGAGCAAATGTTGTTCTTAAGACATACCTAATTAACTTAGTAAGTGTTGCAAAACAGGAAAATTCTGTGGATTTACATTTTGCTTTTTTGAAACGTAATCAATATTTATCACCTTACAAAAGAAAAATAAAACCCAAGAAAGCTCTTTTTAACATGTGTACATTGTTGGCATATTTCTCACTCAGAATTTGAAAGTTGATTTTTTTTTTTAATCGTAAAATCAACAACTTCCCTGATCTGTTAATACGATACTTTCCTCTTAATATTGTGGAGTGTGTACTTATACTTTAGCTGACATAATACAAACAAGCTTATAAGGAGTTTTTCAATGAAAATTATTTCTGCAATGTGTACATGTATTTGAAAGTGAATGTTCTGCTCTCTTACACATTGCTCATAGCACTAGCCTTGGTATGTTTTTAAATTCTTACTCTCCCATTCCGTTGTATTGATGGAAGTGTAGGCCGAGGAATGCTAGACAAGCCGTTGAAGTAGGCTTTGAGTGGTTCACCTTTCTGTATGTAGTCAAAATGTAATCGATTTTCATGATAACTATGTGAGGTGATAGTGATGTTCATTTCCTTGTTTTTTTTTTTTGTGTTTGGTAACTTTACTATTGTACACATATATTAAGTGTCATGTGGATTACTGTAGGTGTGTACACTTGGTATTTCCTAGTTATACCCCAGTAAAGCTGGGGAGGAAGTATGAAAAAGACAAGGAAAGATAGTTGTTTATTGAACAGTGAGCCAAAATCACACTGATGTGTCTTCAGCACAGGTGTGTACCGCACGGGCGTGTACCGGTTGCCGATCTGCGCTTGTTAAAACCCTAGGTTCCTTTGGTCGCGTTAGTGGAACTAGAGCGCAGTAGTAGGGAAATGCAGTTTGCTTTACATTTTTAAAGGATGTTTGCAAACATTTATTTGGCTAACACTTGTTTCATAACAAGTACTGTAATGGGTGTTGTGCCTCTAAGGATTCTGAGTATTTATATCGGGTCATATTTTCTTTAGAGTGAGGGGTGATGTGTAAGGACCTGTGCCATGGAATGGATGTGTATCATAACATTTAAGTACTTGCCTGTGGAATTCAAGGCACATAGAGCAAAGATAGCACCTTCTCAGTCTAAGCGTGTTCACAGCAGTGGTGTCAGCTGACATTTCAGTGCCCTTGTTATAAAAATCTCTTTGGGGTTAGTGAGGTGTCTTGGTTGGTAGGTCTGGCGGTGGGCGTGACATACAGCAAATGAATGTTCAGAACTCGTTACCACATTGTTTACCTAGGGGTGCGCCTCAGTGTGAAGGGCACTCTTGTGGGCGTCTGTTCTCTGCTTCCTCCATATGTGGGGTCCTGGGGATTGAATTCAGGGTAGCAGCTTCCTCACTTTGACTACCACCTCCAGACTTCAGTGATTGCCTCCTTGTCTCCTTCATAACCCTTCCCATTTAAACATCATAACGGTGGGAAGTACGAGCCCAGCCAGGTGCTTGTCGTCTTGGTTTACAAGTAACCGAGTTCAGTTTATTTTGGATATGGGATCATTCCTAAGATTAGGTTTGGGGTGGCGGGGGCTGGGGGAAGCAGAGCCTTCTCAGAATCATTATACATATTAACTTAAAGCCTGCAGGAAGAAACCTGGGAGGCCAGCGTTTCTTTAGTGCTCAATTAAAAGATCCCCTTTAGAGTTTGATTTATCGTAGTCCTACATTTTGTTTTTTGTTTTAATGGTTTTAACAAAGTAGCTTTTTTTCCCCTAAAGCACATAATAATGACACACTAGTCACTTAAAGAACTGAGTGGTGGTAGATGATGCTTATTTGGCAAAGTGTTTGCTGTGCAAATGTGAGACCCGAGTTTGGATCCCCAACACCATTACAAAGATGGCCTGGTAATGTGCATCACATTTCTAGCTAGCTCAGTGGAGGTGGAGACAGGACAGTTCTGGAGCTCATTGTCTACCCAGCCTAGATGAACCAATGAGAGACCTGTCTCAAAGAAAGAAGACGCCTAGTGTTGGTTTCTAGCCTCTGTGGTTGAATATACATGTGACCCCCCCCCCCCGCCATCATATACCCCTCCCTGCAAGACAGGCTCTCTTGCTATCCTGAGCCTCCTCAGTGCTGCATGACATCGGGCTGAGCACGCCATAGGGAACCAGCCAGTAAAGCTGCACGTGTGGACTCTGCATCAGCTCCTGCCTTGAGTTCCTATTCTGACTTTCCTCAGCGATGAAGTGACCTGAGAGGTGTTAGGGGGTGGACCCTTTCTTCCCAAGGTGCTTTGGCCATGGTGTTCTATCATAGCAATAGAAACACTACCTAAGACGGTAAGGAAATGGCATATTACTCCCCCCCCCCCCCCGCGCATACCAGTTTAAGTTGAGAGCACACTGACTAGGCATTCATGATGGTGAGCTTGGGTAGAATGCATTTGATGTTCCTACTGACTGCTGTTCCATTGGAGACTTGTAACAGTGACCTGCTGTCACTTTCTACTTGGGACAGGTCCAGATCGTCAGACATAGACCTAATTGGTCTTGAGGATAAATTACTTTTGGCATGTACTACTTTGAGCCTTTCCATCATGTGAATGTTTCCTAGTTTAAGTTAGATATTGCTTATTTCTAGCAACCCTACCTCATTCCCACCCATGAGTCAAGGTTGTTTTGCTATACATCCCTGACCATCCTGGAATGTTGTACCAGTGTTGACCTAATACTCAGAACCCCCCAGTCCTGCCTCTGCTTTGGAATTTTGGAGTTATAGGTTTGAGTCACCATGCTTAGATTTATTTTATACCTGAGTGTTTTACCTGCATATATGTTTGTGTATTATGTGTATACTTGGCCGTTTCAGAGGACAGAAGAGGGCATTGGATCCTCTGGGACTGGAGTTACAGGTGGTTGTGAGCCACCATCTGGGTGCTGGGAATCAAATTGGGATTCTCTGCAAGAGCAACAAGTGCTCCTAACCACTGAGCCAGCTCTCCAGCCGCCAGCTGTTTTTTTTTTTTTAAATCAGTATTTTTGTCAGTTTTAAAAGTTACTACATAGTATTCATGAATATTTGCCTTGAATGTCAGAGTTTCTTTACTTTGGGGTAACTGAGGTCACGGGATCTGGAAAATTTTAGATTTACTGAGCTTGTCAGAAAGCTGTCCTTGTAAGTTCTCCCGTCCTGGCAGTAGGTGTGACTGGATCTCTGGATGGTAGTGCTTGTTATAGTTAAAGCTAAGCTCTGGTTGGCTGGTGGAAGGGACAGTGCTTCAGATAGACGGAAGGTGACAGCCACAGCCTCTCCCTCTTTCTGGTGGTGTGGAAGATCGCCCTTTCCTCAGCTGGAGGTCGGGTCTACCGTGTGCTCCTGCTTGGCTCCCCGTGTGTCTCAGCATGTGCGGCCAGCTTTCTAATGTCAGTGTCTGCTGCAGATGCTGGCTGCCACGGGGATCTAGTAAGAGGAGGAGGAACTGGAGAGACGCACACGGCACCCACATGACA